GTTTTGGGAGAAATGTTTAACACCTCCTTTTCCCCTTTTTTTTTTTTTTTTAGAGTTTTCTTAATTCAGACTTGATAACAAAATGACTAGGATATGTTTTTTTTTTTCTAAACACACTTTCATAAAAAGGTACTCTCTATGTTTCTAATAACTTGTGTTTAAATTTATTAAATTTTTTTGCATTAACTAAAGCTAAATTAACCAATAAAAACTTATACAATAGAGTATAAAAAGTTACACCACGTAATACTAAAGTTTTGCATAGAAAATTGAAAACATTTTTTAAGTTGAAATAAGAATAAAAACTTAAAACACCATTCAAGATGAATTGCTTAATCATTTAACTGAATTAAGATGAACTGCTTATTTGATTTCCCCTTAAACATACTGGTCCTTTAGTTTTCTAGGAACAGAATTGATAATTATCTTAGGCAGTGTTTGATATATAATACAAGCCTCTGATTCATTAAACCATGAAAGAAAACACTAGAATATGTTTGCCAACCAAATAAAAAGAACACTAAAATTAACCATGCAAAATGTTCGACTTCGTTTCACCTAATAAGGGAACAATAAGATAACCAGAACTTGATATTTTTGTAATCGGTTTTCACCTGTGCTTGCGTTTCGCAGGTGGCATGTTCCTCATGCTGCTGCTACCGCCTCCACCACTGCTTCTACCACTTCCTCCACCGCTGGTTCCAGGCCGCGATTTCCCAAACGCTCTCATCTTCCTTCTCTTCCGCTCTTCCTCACTGTCTGACTCAGCTCCATGCTCTCTGTCTGCATTAGTAGCTTCTCTCTCCAGCTCGTCCCAAGTCTTACCTTTCTCTTCCTCCGACTCTTCCTCTGAATCATCTTCATCTTCGTCTTCTGACTCAACCAGTGACGCGCTGTCTGAATCCTCGTCCTCTGACTCAGACTCAACCTCTACATCTGAGGGCTCATACCCTTTGTCTGACTCCTCAGAGCCACCAGATTCTGAGTCGCTTCCATCCAAGTTAAGAAACTCCCATCCTCCTTCCTCTACAAAGCTCTGTGGATCATCCGTGATAGTCTTAAGGATCTGTCTCCAGTTCAGATTCAGCTTGCTCTCGTAGTACTTTATGTCTGTGGTATCAAGCCACTCCTTTATTCCTTCTAGAGAACTGGTGGGAATCGAGTCAACCCTCAGAACATCTTTCTTGAAGTCCTTGAAGATGATGGCCATGTCAAAGTTCTTCTGCCCAAACCCAACTCTCTCCAGATTCACAATCTCAATCTCACTTAGACTGACCACAAAGAAGGGCATTTCAGTGATCTCAACCAGGCAGCTTGAGGTAGGGATGATGAAAGCACTTGTCTTATACGGGACACCATAGAAACCAAGCTCTCTCAGAGGTTGATCGAACTCAAGGTCCAAACTTGCAAACTGGGGTTGTTGCCACAAATCATTGACCCGGCTTGCAAAATTATTGAAATCCATGTTGATCTTATTTTTTCTAGCTCGCTCCCGCTGTTCTTCATCAATCTCGTCTGGGTCATAGGCTGATCTCCTTCCACCGCCTAAAGACTGCACAACATCCATCACCTCCACATAAAATTGGACGTCTTTTGTTTTCTTGTTTGCTACCATGATGTGGTTGTGCAAGTGGAAATGCAGGACTGTGATCATCTCCTTCTCAGCAGGCTGGAAAAACGCATGCTTTATGTTTGCAAAGAGGACATCTACCCGCTCATTTTGCCTAGTTGTTGAGTATCTGAAACCATTGGCATGAGCTTCGAGTGTCCCAGGAATCCTCTTCCGACCACTAAACTGCGGACGGATCCACAAATCAGACAACCTCAGGGGTTTGAACTTGTTTCCTGCAAGCTGAAGTTTCTCTTGGGTCACCAGTGTCGCCCTTTCAATTCTCTCAGACTCCCGAGCATTAACTTGCCTTCTCAGGGTCTTAATAGCCTGAACCACTTCACTACTATGCTTTGAATCCTTGGACCGGAATGAAACCTCTTTCAGGTAAATCGCACCCTGGTTTTTCAAAGTGTTCGAGTCCTGAGGGGTAAAAGGTGTACCAGGGACATTGAAGATGATACGGATGTAGTTATTCCGGTTGCTATCGTGCTGGTTTGAGACTGTTCTTATCGTTGCCACATGGAACGGAACCAAGCTACCATAGATTGGTAACAATAACGCCTCGTTCTTCTGATCAACCTGGATCATCAAATCCCGAGGTTGAGGCACATCGTTAACGTTCTTGTAGGCAACCAAATCTGTTGAAGTCTTTGCAGTGGACCGGCGATCTCCAACACCGGAACTATCACCGGCAAGCCTTCTGGCAGTTTCTTCATTCTTCTGGCGGGCAAGCTCTGCCTGATGCTGCTTACGCAGCTCTTCTTTAGACACCACATGATCATCTGATCTAAGAGCTGTCTTGGTGATATAGTTCTCAGGACCGCTGGACCTTGACTTCTTCCTGGGTTTCTCTTCTTCTTCTTCGTCCTCTTTGAACGAGTAAGCCACATCCTTAACAGATTTAGAGCACTTAGTCAAAATATCAGGACCCTGCTCTTTAACAATAACAGTGTCGGCCAGCAAAAGTGAGAACTTCTTATTCTTGCTGCGGCTCTCCATCTCACATTCCAAGTTTTGGAAACCTAGAGACACATTAAACGCCATCTCTGATCTCAACACTTTGTCATTCTTTGCATTAATATTCAATCCCGACTCCCTGAACTCGATACCAATACCAGTCCCAGCAGATTTAGTTAGCTTGTCAACCAACTCAGGGGCTTCTTTTTCAACCACAGAAAAGGCAGCTTGATAAACAGCGTTTATTTTTTTCCCTGGTCTCAGAGCATTAATAGCAGCATCATGTGCCTTGAGAAGAACCTCATAAGCCTTGCTCTGGAGAGGAGTTGCATCTATTAGGTACGTCCTGGCAACGTTAGAGCAATAACTATTGTACCGAGCACCAACAGCACATATAATGATGCTGGCTGGATCATAAGTGAGCAATTCATCATCGCTTGCAGCACTAGGCTTGAGATCAAACTTGCCTCCACTTTGAAATATCGGAGGGTAGCATATGTCAACATTCTCTGCCCTCAGCTTCACATTAGCTCTCGTTGGCTCAACTATTGCTTTCTCGGTGAGATCCATCAATGAAGAGTGGGTGACATCTTTCTCCTCATCAATGACATTCTCAAGTTTTGGAACAACAACATTTTTCATCACGCTGTAGGCTAGATATGCAGCTTTCTTCACATTAATAATTTCAGTTCCGTCTTTAACAGCAAAGAGATCAGACAACCCCGCAGTGATATCAACAAACTGAAATTTTGCATTCTTTAGCCTCTCAGTCCATGTCTCCAGAAGCTTACCTTCAGGAGCTTCACGAGTAATGTTTCCTACCACTTGGGGCCCCTTTCCATTACCCACCGGTAAATCACTGATAACACGTAATATGGCATCCATATGCCCTGTTCCATCCTCACCTTTAGCCTTCACATAAATAGCAACATCAATCCTCAACTCATCAAGCGCAGGTTTTTTCACAACTTCAAGTACAGATGCCTTGGTCTTGCTAGTCAAGAAATGGATCTTCTTCGAGGTGAAAACCATTATTGTGTCAGGGAACTCATACCCAAAAAGCCAAGTAGTCAAAGCGGACGACTTCAAGTAGCGCAGATCTTCAGAACCAGGAGGGGTAGCTACAGCAAGAGCATCAGCGGATCCCCATAGGTCTGCATTATGCTCATTCCAGTGTGCATACAAGGCTTTTGTACGAGAGATGAAGTTTTTGATATCAATCTCGTAGGTATTCCCAGCTCTCGGAGGCCCTCCAGCAGGAGCTCGTGCATTACCGTTTCGAGAATCTCCCATCTAAAGAGTACAACATAAAACTTGTATGAGGTAGAAGTGTAATATATCCAGAAAAACATAACATAAAGTTATCATAAGCTAAGAGATATACACAGACCTAAAGCTGTCAAAAACCTGAAACAAGACAAGGAATTAAGAAGACCTAATCTCGTAACATAACAAGAAAATTAGAACGATCTCTAAATGGGTAGGAAATCATACCTTAAAAAGTTTATCAGACTTTGAAAAGAAAATGAAAGTATAAACTTTTAGGCTACAACAGACTCTATATATGACAATGAAATAATAAAACATTGTAAATTAATTCAAGCAGCTGTGCCCTCAAGGTTAATATGCTGAGAGCTTTTATCAACATCTCCACTATTTTCAGAAAATACACATCCAAATTTAGGGTTGATAGATTGAAATCAGGTTTAACCTTAAATTGACAGTCATCGCCACCAATCTAACAAACACAAAAAAAATTGAGAAATATACACAGAGCTCTCTCACAAATCAGGAAGAAAACAAAGAATCATCGTTAAAACCAAACACATCAAATATTGAAAATAGGGTTACGCCTTGATTAGAGAGTGAATGGCACCAAATTTCGTAAACCCAGAAAAAATCAATTACCTCGAATCGAATCAAGGAAATCCCAAATCGAAGCTGAGACACGAACAAGAAGCAAGCGAAACCCTAGAAATTGAAGAACAAAGAACAAAACGGTTAGTTTACTGGGAAAATGAAGCGAAATCAAAACGAATACAATTTCAGACAAAGATTCGAATTAAAAAAATACCAAAAACAGAGATTATAACAAGTTGAATCCGAAATCGAAAACAGTGAGAAAACCAAAAAAACAAAATCAAAGAGACATATACCCAGAGAATCTAACGACGGAGGAGAAGAACGTAGTAAGCTTCACACGACGGCGTTTTAAGCCCCAAAGAAAAAAAAGAAGTTTACGGCGAGGCTCTCGTGAGAGAGAAATGAACGAGACTAAGAGAGAGCTCTTAGGGAGACCAAAGAATGGCGAGTAAGGGGAACATACATGTGTTTTTGTAACGGTGGGTCCCCCCTGGGTTTAACACCGTCTTTAAAAAAACGAACGGCCCATTCTGTCCTTAACATGGTTGGCCCAAATAATAGCTAATAAAGCCCATTAATACGCTCGCGCGCGCCTGCATGGAGGAAAAGGAAGCTTCGCTATATGACCGTTACAGCACCCCACGCGCTTCTTCTTTTCTATATATATCAAACCTAAAGCGTTACAATTTACAATTATAATCTCTCAAGCTTTCTTCTGATTTTTAGGGTTTCAAAATAATTGTTTTTCGTGTAGCGTTTCTCAAACATGAATGCTCCAGAAGTGGAAGTGAGCATCACGGGAATAAAACACTCTCCATCGACACCAAACAAAGTCGTCATCATGATCAACACCAAGTTCGATGAGATTCTTGAAAACCCAACCACCGGTCTTCGTACACCAACCGGCCGGTCCACTTTGGTTTCTCCACCACTTCTCATCTACTTCGATCTCTGTACTACAAGCCTCCGTGACATAGAAGAACTTCTCGGAGATAAACTTGCTAGCCATCGATGGTTATGCGTAGACTTAGCGTCAGATATCTCAACCTTTGCAAACGAATTAGGTTTTGGGTTTAACGGGGTTACATTGACCATCTCGGTAAAACTCACTTACCAGAACGTTGTGGTTGTGTCCGATCCTGCTCCAGACGAGGGGTTGTCGTTGAGGGCTACGATATTAAGAATTGTTTTGTTAGGTAAGATAGATAGAGAGGAACTCAAGAGTTTAAAGATGGAGACAGAGTCTTGTTCGATTTGTCTGGATAATCTCTCTGGTTCTTCTTCGAAACGTGGTGCTGCCACACGCATGAACTGTTCTCATGTCTTCCATGATCTTTGTATTTTGGAGTGGCTTCAACGCAAAAGGACATGCCCCTTGTGTCGGACTGTCTTGTATGATTGATGATTTTGGATCAAAGGGTGATTTAGATTAGGGTTTCCATCTGCACAACTTGGGTGGGTCACACGTGCTTTTATTTCTTTTTATATAATTGTTGTTTAGAATCTGTAAACTGTTGAATTTCATATATTTTGTACTTGAATTGTGATTTTTTTAGTTTCAGCTTTTTGGGCTTGAATTCCAAATAAATTCTTTGCAGAACCTGAATTTACCTCTATATAAGGAGCTAACTAATTGAATTGAAAGCGTTCTTTTAGAGCAAATATATTTAGTATATATCACTAGATGAGATTATTATTAAAAGAATCTGGTGGATACAATACAAATACATGTACGTTAAGTTTCATTTACAATCCACGAAAACACAAAGGATGAGAGCCTATTACAAATAATTTACACAGTATGACAAGTGACAACGAGCTTTCCTCTCCATTTATTCTCTATATGTTCTCCTGTGAGAAACAAATGGCCGACGATGTCTGCTTCTGCAACACAAAACAGAACCAAATATGTCCTCCTCTGGTACTTCTCTAGTGTACAAAATATACTTCACTTCTGAGTAGCTCAGTGTTCTAGCCACATGCTACAATTGACCTGTAACTGATTTCAATTTCTGCTGCAGCTGTAGATAAACACAATACATGCTTGATGAGTATGGTTCAGATATAAGATTTAACTAGATGTGTTTTTTAAAAAAAATTTGAGTTTCTATAACTGGCAATTTCTTTGAATTACTTAATGATGTGATGCTTAAAGGAAAAAGTAGTGTAAACGTACTCGGGTGTCTTTTGATTTCTCTTCTTCTAGTTCTTCTGTCAACTCTTTCATCCTAAAGAAGCAAAAAAAAAAAAATTAGAAACAATTAGTAAAAGACTATACCACATTGATCTCTATGACGAAAGGTTTGATTGAGAGAAGAAGAGGAACGACCTAGCCCGAAGTTCAGAGATCTTGTTAAGTAGTAGCTTTTCCCTCTCGGAAGATGTGGGCTCAATAACCTATCCGACACAAAGCAAAGAATGTGAATGCAGTGATTTTAAGACATTAATGATTCCAAGGACATCAACTTTCCATTTTGTGAACCTATATCAAGAACGAGAGTTAAACTATCTGTCGCCATACATCATCGTTATAAACTAATAGAAAGGATTCACATCTCTATCTTACCATCTGTTGCTTCAGTGCCGCCTGGCGTTCACTCTCAGGCCTAACAGATAGTAAAATATCAAGTTGGAGCACTTGAAATTTCTATGAGAATGGAGAAGAAAATCTGATTTGTAGAATACTAAGTAATCCAATTAATGATCTCTAGAACAATAATTAGCTAATGGCAAACCTTGCATAATAACCATGGCCCTTCTCTGAATCCGAATTAGTTAACAAAGTACCGGGTGAAAGTGGTCCACTTTGAGTCTGGCGTCTGACTGGTTGAGCCTTTCAGCCTTTCTCTGTAGAACGTTATGCTCCGGACTTGGTGTCGTTTGTTCAGCAGAAGAAGCAGTTTGTGCTTCCACCTCAGGATTCGTTCATGATATTATCGAACTGTTCCCCACCAAGTTCATCTTCTTCCCTACTCTCTGCTAGACTGTCATCATCATCTAGCTATTGCACACATAACAAGCGTGTAACCACATGAGTCATTGATGGAAACCATTGGTCATATAAGATATATATCAAAGCATAGCATACCAAAGATGCTTGTTCTTTCAAATCTTCAACATTGAGGTTCCAAGCACTTACTCCTCTTTGGTATTCACTCTGACATGAAAAGTAACTTTTTATAAGCATTGTGCAATTTTGAGTCCAATGCCACAAAAGTTCAAACATTTGTCACCTGCGACATAGCTTCCTGGTCAGCAGAGGCAATTCCTTTCGAAGCAAGCTGAGCAGCTTCCTTGGCCTGTCATTAAACGACTCTTATGAATTAGAGTCGAACAGGACAAGCACAACAAACTCGACGAAGATAAAGGCATGGAAAAACCTGAAGAGCTTTTACGCGTGTCCAGAGAGGTGGCAAATTAGAAAATAACTTTTTTCACACAAATCTCCGGAGGCTTTGCATTCTTGAAAAATGAGTGTTTCAACAACTTTTCAGCGGTTGGCCTCTTTGTTTGACCTTTCACCAGACACAATGCTACCATTTCATTAAAGGACTGGTCACAGCTGAACATCTTCTAATTAGAACAAAGTCTTGATCTTGAAATGGAAGATAATATAAGAGTCTACTTAGAAAGAACACAAGTACCTTTGATAACTTCTTGTCACGGTCATAATCAAGGCCAGGCAGCGCGTTTTGAATAGTCATTAGAGTACCTGTTACAGTGAAAAAGGAATAAGATCTGTTCTCAGTACACATATGAAAAGTATTGAATACCTTCATGGGGGCATATTTTGAGAAAGGTGCATGACCATGAGCCAACTCCAGTGCGGTTAAAAGACAAGATATCAGCTCTGTAAGAAAGATACAGAAGACCAAACCAACCAAAAGCTGTTATCGCAATTCTTTGATGTAAACAGTTTCTACTGATCTTTTCTTTCATTTGACATAGAAAATACTCATTAGCATACAACCAAAGAAGAGAAATGGTAGGGGATTTGGGACTGAAACAATCGCAACAGTATCTAGATAAACCAAAATTAACTATATAGCATTACTTGCTGTCACAAGGTATAATAAACTCACTTCGAATTGTATCCACTTCCTGGCTGCAAGACTTCCGGTGTCATCCTAACAAAACAGAAACAAGATATTACTAGGTTCAACAGTCGAGTAGAGCTCAATAGTGAAGCTTAATGAGAGACCAACCAAACTGAAGAAAACTAACCAGCATGGGGTACTAACAAATGTGTTTCTTGCGCGTTGTCTATCTCCACTGTTAAACAAGCACGCAGAGACACCAAAATCACCGAGCTTAACCTCTCCATTGTTATCAAGAAGTATGTTTCCAGCCTAAAACGGAAGAGACAAAAAGGAAGTTGTTGAATTCATAAAGCAGAGTGTGAAAACAACTTCAATATCTAAGTCGACCTTAACGTCTCGATGGATATGCCCTTGTCTGTGAAGATAATCAAGAGCTTTAAGTGTTTCTTTCAACATAGAACATATAGCTGACTCTTCAAACCCATCTGCCTTCATGAGGTGTAAGCAAGAGCCTTGAGCCATAAAGGGCATGAAGACCCAGAGGTGATGGTCAACAGCAAAGGAACAAAAGGACTTTATAACGTTGGGATGGTCTATCAAACTCATGGTCTGAGCTTCCCTCCTTTATATCATTATCATCATAGTAACAACCAAAACAATTACATCAAATTAAGTTGAAGATCTAAAAATGGATTCAATACAGAACTATTGGGAGATTTTTCAGTTCCAGACAAAACTTGAGATTATGTTGTAACCAATATAATTAGTTCTGAACTAATAACGAGATGGGTAAGAAACGGACCAAATTCGATTATGTTGCACTTGATAGCGACGACTTGTTTAGTAGGAAGATAAATTGCACGATGGACAACAGCACTAGCACCATACCCAACTTCTTATTTCCATAAGCTTACAGTCTTTAGACCACGATTATTGCAGTCCCGCCACCACGTAGCTTAGCATTAATATGATTAAAAATAAGTAAAAGTGTGAGATTAAAGCAAAACACGCACCTTCAGGAAGGTCACGAAAGCACGCCCCTTCCGGCCACGTGTCGGCACTGGATTCGACCGAACGTTGGTGGAGTCGCGTTGTTTTGTCTTTTTTTTTTCATTCTTTCTTTCGTCCTTCTCTCTTCCTTCTCTCTCTTTCTCCGATGGCGAAAGGCGATTTCTCGCCGATTTCTTTCACAATCGGTGGTTCTCCTAGCCTCAACGGTGTTGCTCTCGGTGGCGACGACGGAAAACAGCGTCCCTTCCTAGGATTCGTCTCATCGATCGACGAAGACGGCGAGATCTTGTGTCGTTGTTTGAGAGACGGAGGAAGACGATGAGTCGGCGATTCCGAAAAAAGATGAGTTGCATGTCTTTTATTTGTCTATTTCATCATGATTCTAGTGTTTTTTTTACACATCTTTTTGTCTTTGATTTCTTATTTATTTTCTGTTTTCTTTCTTTGCAGATGATTTGTTCTCGATGAGGAGGTGAACGTTGGTAGACAAACCCCCCTCCTCCACCCCAACGAAATTTTATGAAAGGTAACACTCTGTCTTTGATCTTTACAGTTGGATAAAATCGATGTGTTTGTTCTGTGGAATTGGATTAAGCATTTTTTGTATAGGAATAACCGATACCTTTGAACTTGTGAATGTTTTGAATCTTATTATTGGTTGTACTGAATTTGTAATTGGATAAAACCATTGTCTTTGCTCAGTTGAATTAGCTTTTATTGTTGTTTTTTACTTTTCTTTGAATTTGATAAATCAATGTTTTTGCTCTTGGTTTGTGAACGGAAAAATGTGTTGCTATTATTGTTGATTTTACAGTTGGTTAGCATTCGATATAGGCATTGTCTTTAACACTATTTTTGGTTTGTGGTTTGAATCTTAACTATGTGTTAGGTTGGTAATAAATTGCGTTTGAGGTAGTTAGACTGAGTAATGGTTGTCTTAAATAGAAAAGAGAGTCTTTTGTGATGAATGGGTAACGGATATATGTCAAGTCCGTTGTGGTTGAATGTGATCAATGCTCTTCTTCTGTCTTTGTGTATAAAAAATCTACCTTCTCTGCTTTCTTTATCTCATTGCAAACCGTTTTCTAAAAAAAGCTTCCTTCTCTTCCTTCTTTATCTCATTCCAAACTTTGTTGATATGGATTCCTATCCATCGTCTGGTCCCTCAAGGTTTGTTGAACTATTACATAGTCAACAAACTGTTACTTTTGGTAACTATGAAGATAGTGTTCAACTATCTTCATCACAGCTTCCATTTCTTGGTAGTGAAGGTACTGATGCCTCAAACTATGAGGCAGACACTGCCACAGCTCCAAAAGAGCGACGGAAATGGACACAGAGTGAAGATATTGTGCTCATCAGTGCATGGTTAAATACTAGTAAAGATCCGGTGGTTGGCAACGAGCAAAGAAGAGGAGCATTTTGGTCTAGAGTTGCTGCCTACTTTCAGGCAAGTGCTGGTGATGAAGGCTCGGATCAGAGACAGTCAAGGAACTGCAAGCAGCGTTGGCACCGCATCAATGACCTAGTCTCCAAATTCGCCGGAGCGTATGAGGCTGCTACTAGAAAGTTCAGTAGCGGTCAGAGTGAAGATGATGTCCTGAAAGAAGCTTATAGTATATTCGAAAAAAACCACAAGAAAACTTTTGCTCTAGAGCATGCATGGTTGGAACTACGGTACGACCAGAAGTGGTGCTCCCTTAGTACTGGTAAAAAGGCTGTGAGCTCGAGGAAGAGGACTTGTGAGGAAGGTGCAGAGACAGAGAGTTCTCAGGCAGAAGGTTTGAAGCGTCCACAAGGTGTGAAGGCTGCAAAGGCAGGTGGTAAGAAGAAGGTTGAAGTGGATAATAATCTCAATAAGTTTGAGACTATGTGGGCTATCAAAAAGGCAGATTTGGAGGCGAAAGAGAGGGTGTCTAAGATGGAATGTTCAAATGTTCGATGAATTTTTTGATCAACAATTTGATCAAACGTTTGACAGTTTGTGCACTATATATGGAGATCAAGAAACCGAAAGGAGGCCAAGGAAAAAACGAATTTTCATCGACAGACATCGTGAAGAAGGCCATATACGTTTATGGAATGATTATTTTAGTGAGACTCCAACATATCCTCCTAATCTTTTCCGGCGACGATTTAGAATGAACAAGCCATTGTTCATGCGCATTGTTGAGCGTCTGACCAATGAAGTTCCATTCTTTCGACAAAAAAGAGACGGTCTCGGAAGGCTTGGTCTCTCTACACTTCAAAAGTGTACAGCGGCTATTCGTGTGTTGGCATATGGTTCTGCGCTTGATGCGGTCGATGAATATCTCAGGCTCGCTTCAGCCACCACTCGTTTATGTCTAGAAAATTTTGTCCAAGGAATAATTGATTTGTTCGGCGATGAATACCTAAGAAGACCAACACATGCTGATTTACAACGTCTACTTGATGTTGGCGAGTATCGTGGATTTCCCGGTATGATAGGAAGCATCGACTGTATGCACTGGCAGTGGAAGAATTGTCCCACAGCTTGGAAAGGACAATATTCACGTGGTTCGAAACCACCCACAATCGTTTTGGAGGCGGTCGCTTCATATGATCTCTGGATATGGCATGCGTTTTTTGGAGCTCCAGGTACCTTAAATGATATCAATGTTCTTGATCGCTCACCTGTTTTTGATGACATAATAAATGGTCATGCACCGATAACGAATTTCTCGGTCAACGGAAAAGAGTATAATTTGACTTACTATCTCACCGATGGTATTTATCCGGAATGGGCAACTTTTATCCAATCTATTTCACTTCCGAAAGAGCCGAAAGCAGCTTTATTCGCTCAACATCAAGAAGCTGCCCGCAAAGATGTCGAACGTGCTTTCGGAGTCTTGCAAGCACGATTTGCCATTATTAAAAACCCGGCACTTTATTGGGATAAAGTCAAGGTTGGGAAGATTATGAGAGCATGTATCATACTCCATAATATGATAGTAGAAGATGAACGAGATGGATACACTCAATTTGATGTTTCGGGTTTTCAACACGGAGAAGACAGCGGAAGTTCACATGTCGATCTCAGCTATTCTACAGATATCCCTACAAATGTCGCCAATAATATGGATGGTCGATCAAGACTTCGTGATAAAAATGCGCATCGACAACTGAAACGGGATTTGGTTGAACATTTATGGCATAAATTTGGACATTCTCAAGACAACAACTGAATTCGATGCCTCTTTCTAATTATTATCGTTTATGTTTTTATATTTCTATTTTAAAATCTATGTTTAATATGTCTAATGTTATGTTTGATCTTGTTTTATTAAATAATTAAAGTTTATCTTTTTTGAAAAAAATAATGTTTGATAAAAAATATTATTTTTTATTCATAACAACATTAATTAAGGGACTTGCAATAAACCACTACAATTAATGATCCCTTACCAAAGTTCCTTACCTTAACTTTAATAATTAAAAAATCACAAAACCCCACTTATGGGACCCTTAATGGTTTTTGCAATAATCATGCTCTTAGGGTTCACTGAGAAACCTTTCTTCTTCTTACCATTACATTACCACCACCACTCCACATCTTCAATAGCCCTAACAAACCACCAAATCAGACGAACAAAAACGTAACGAAGGAGGAAGAGGAGAGAGTACAAGTACTCTCTACTCTAGAGCAAGACGAAACCGAGACGAGAACTCCATTGATATCTCTTTTTTGTAAATTAATTTTTGTTTTTTTTTTTTTTTTTTTATTCTGTCCTTGTGTTGTGGTTGGTTTACTTCGGCTCGGCTCTGCTAATATCAGATTGATGCATCCACAACTTTATCCATCTTTGGGGCTACCCCTCTCTCATCAGCAGTGATATTGACTAGTGACTTTGGTTGGCGTTGAATAAAGATGAACATATACTTTGTCAACGATTTATAGGATACATTTTCATGGAATTATATTTTGGTTTACCAAAACTAGAAGAAAACCAATCATCAGTTAATTGAATCAACCATTCCACATCAATTTATTCCAAAATTGGAAATAGAGTTTGCCGCCTAAATGTTTCAAAGTCTCACTACCAAAGTATCATGGGGTCAAAAAAATTCAAACCAAATATGTGAACACCTGTCCTACTAATTTCATACCAATAAATTTGTTTTTACAACTCATACACGACATTGTCACTAAGTATATGAGAGTGAAAAAATTAATGCACATGCCCAAACTTCAAGAGCTACAAACGCTTTTGCCATTTCTCAATTGAATTTGAGTTACAAATGCTTTTAAGTGTAAAGTGGGCAACCTTCAACAACAATACCTGCGGCTGTTGGACAAGAGGCCAAAGGACAACCATCGAGTTCATTTCCCCACCAATCCAAACTCACATTCTCAAGCTCCAAACACATATAAAGCAAAACACCCATAAATGCTAAACCAGCATCCAGTGCTCCAGACAACACATAATTATACCTTTGCCATAGATTCGGTCTGTACCTAAACACAACAAATCCAGACAAAAATCCGGCAAAAATCCATGATGTGTAGTTCACGGATGTTGCGGGTAGCATCCAGCGAATCGCACTTATTAGAATCGGCATGTTCACAAGCTTGATCCACTTTTGTCTAGGGAACATTCTTGAGGCTAACCATACAAGAATTGGGGCAATAGCGCCAACGAGGAAGAACCAATTAACGGATTTGTATAAACCAAGATCTCCAAAGATTCTACGGGGACCAATAAGTCCCCATATCACAGATGCATCGTAGAATATTTTATCGTGTGGACATGTCCAAACCGAGTTAGAAATACATATGTTTGGGACGGTCTCCAATAGCCACCAAGCCGTTATGAGGTACACCAAACATGAGAGGAATGTTCCAACAATCTGAAAATACATCACTTATGTGTGAGTTATAACTTGTAACATTTAAGAGGTGGTACGAAGTTGTTGAAAATAGAGAATATAACCTGTGCCATAAACATGATTCTAGGTGGAATCTTCATGTAATGACCAAGTTTGAAATCTTGAAGAAATAAGACGGCTTGTTTCATGCTTATGTATCCATATACTTTAAAGCACATATTTGCCACAGGATATCCCGGATAGATATATCCTATGATATATTCTGTAATAATGTTCAATCCTGGAGCCTAGGATCCAAAATAAAAGATCGTCTTTTAGCATGTGGAAGTGGTGTATTGGCACATAAAAAATTGAGAAACATCTTATTATAACAGATACTCGATCTTTTAGTTGTCAGTTTCACCTGGTTAGTGATAGCGGTGAGAACACCAATAGGAAGTGTAAAGATAATGGCGATTGCACATGCCAAGAGGACACCCCACCATGGCAACTGAAGTTGGTCTTTGTAATACTCACAAGAAAAGATTGTGACTCCAATATTGATAGCGAGAGTACACCAAAACCACCTCTCTGGTACTTGCTTGTACCTCTGCATTAGCCTCGTGTGCACGTCCATTTTTCTCTCTTTGAAACTCTCTTTACTTTGCTCCCATATTTCCCTGAAAACATTAGCAAAGTCAAGCAAAACTATACATGTCCTAAATTTAAACATAGACGTAGATTTTATTTAAAAAAATGCTTTGGTATATATGTAACGTAGAAGTTTATACCTTCCATGAAATAGAGCGACATGCATGATGGTAGAGCTTAGAGCGGCGAAGCCAAAACCATAACTAAGGGCGAAGAAAGTGGTAAGATACAAAGGGCCTTGACGTTCGTAAGCTTGAAGGTCAAGGTGGAAATTAGAATCTATAATGGATGTGATATTGTACTTTGAACCTTCGTTTGTAAAAAGAGAGCTAGAAAATAAAGGAAAGGTCTTGGCATTATAAACATCGAGCCGATAGCATATCGGTGTCAAGACGTATACAGCCAACACAAATCCGACACCAACATTAGCTGTTGCATACCTATTAAAAGCATATGAAACATATTTCTTGTAATACTGAACTAAGCTGAAATTAAAACAAGAAGAAAAAAAAACATAAACTCTACGGCTGTGCAATCGGTTTGATAGTTCATAATCCTTTTTGGAACCGGTTTAAGAAATGATGAGTAGACCGGAGTGAGTTAGGAGTTGGGAAAAAACAAAAAAAAAAAGAGTTAGGAGTTGGGACTGACCATGGACTAGCGAGTGGGCTACCCAAGTAAGAGGAAATGGTTGACCAGTCGAGTCCTATGGCTCCAATACCAAACCCGTGAAGACCCGACCCGATCTGTTGGGCCATGACTGATGATGGAAAGAACCAGCAAACCCACGAAAATGACGTCAACATCTGAAATAAGTATCCAGGAAACACATAATATGCGAAGCTGCAAACAAATGCTATCACGAAGAACTGTGTACGTGTCAGCCCTCCTTTAGTCCTTTCTTCCTTCTCGTGCAAGGCTCTGTCAGTTTAGCCGACCACAAAACAATTTAGATTTACATTTTATCGACGCATTGACTTTTGGAAAATGGAAATAATCCAGTTGGAATCTACAATAATTGGTAGACGAAAATATCATCTATTCTACTTGTATGGCTCAAACCACATATATAAAAATTAGTATATTTATACCAACCACACAAAGTGATTCATACATATCAATCAATAGTTCTCGTCTTTGAAACAAAATAACTACAAAAGTCATAGAATTGTAAATTTCGAAGATAACTCAATGAACGTATACAGCATATAAGGTTTTTGTTTGAAACACCTACAGTATAACGTAAAACGTGAACCCCAGTACTAATACATTTTATTAGTCTCTTCTCTTGTGTTCATCAACCAACTACTTTTTTTAAAGAAAAACTATGTTTCACTTGGTTAATGAAATGATATGCCCAAATAAAACCCTTTGTAATAAATATAGGTTTTCCTATAATATATTGAAGCTTTGGAGAATACACTTCATTACTCACAAATGTATTAAATAGGGTGGGAATTGGATATACTATCTTTTTTTTTTCTTGAAACATTTTTTTGATGGATATATTATTTTCTTTTTAATATATTCGCACCACAATCATTTTAGTTGGAACTAGATTCTGACCCTACCTCCCAAGGATGGATATATTTTTAATTTTTAGAATTTTTTTAATATTTGTATTTTTTTAATCATATATTTTTGTTGTATTCATATTTGGGTATATTAAATAATTAGTATGAGATTTTCAGTCGACAAAAAAAATAGTAAGGGATTTTCATAATCATTGTTAATTAAATAGATATATACAATAGTAACACCAACCTTACATGACACACATATACATGGAGAGTATGAGATAAACTGATAAACCTGAGACTTATCACAACGTAAAACAGGTAACTGAGTGGGCCATATAGGAAGAAAGGTAACTGTTCTAAATTATTCGTTCGGTTTTCTTAAAATTAACATGTAGGTCCTAAGAGCACCCACATTAATGAACCCCTCCTTAGGGGTTCATAGAAATAAAAAAATAATTTTTTTATTTTATTTTCGTTTGCTTTTAAAAAAAAAAAAAAAATTAATTTTGGACCAATCATATGTTGACACGTGGTGAACCCGGGGTCATCGGGGTTCACCGCGGTGAACTTTTGAGAGAGGGGTTCATAGAAATCTGATTTTAATATTATTTTTTTTTTTCGGTTTCCGTGTGAACTCCCCCCATCAACCCTTGATGGGGGTGCTCTAAGATTAACTGGCCTTAGATGATCTTTGGAAAATATCAGCAAAATTTATTTTTTATAAATTTGGGGATTTAAAAAAAAAAAAAGAACTAATGTCAAATAATTTCTTTTTCAAAATATTTGAAAGGTCTAATGTTTCATCAGGATTGGTCTAAGGCCAACTCTGAACATTAATCAAAAGATCCAAAACACACACTACTTACCTAAAAAGTGAGACTTGAACAAGATTCGCCGGCCACCACATCGCCGCTGGTTCAACAAGATATTTCCTGAATATTCCGGCCCATCCAAACCCTAATACCTAAACATAAATCACACCTAATCTATCAGAAACCATAAACTCAATCCAATTCCAAACTTAAAGTTCTGTTTTTAAAATAATGGAAAACGTTAAAAATACGAACTTGGGTGGTAACTATAACAATGAAGGAGACGAAGAACGTCATGTTCTTCATATAATACGCCTTCACAGCGGTGATGATGTGAATAGCGTAAACAGATCCAGCTCCGGCGTTAGCGAAAATAGTTATCAACACATGCTCTTTCACATTAAACGGTCCTGACATTAATCAAAAGACAGCAACTTTCTTACAATCTAACCAAAATGGATTGATCCACGTTCCTTACATATTACTTTGGTCAGTTCTTGAGCTACCTGGATTCAACGTGAATTCCCATTTTGACCCTTGGAAGAAGACTCTATCCGTGATTCTAGCCGCCATGAGACGCCCGAGAGGTACGACGGCGATTTGGGCGGAGATGGCGGAGATTGTAAGAGGCTCTCTTCTGTACCAGAAGAACTGATTGAGAAACGACAGGAGGATGCAAGAGAGAGTTCCTAAGACCCACATGCGGAATGTTAGGACAGGTAGTGAAGGATCGTCTGTTATCGGAACGGTAAGTGCTACCTCTCGGACAGGAGAGTTCTCTTCTTCTAACTCGTTGACGAAGAATGGTATACAATGATCCTCTCTTTGCTCTCTGGTTTCGCATGATGAAGATGATGAGGCCGACGATGGGTTTGTCAGATTTTTGGCTTTTGTTACTGTCAAGAAATGTTTGTTAGTATTTCAATATCGATTGAGCAATTGAAATTATAGTAAATAATGAGAATTTGTAATTACGTAGAGGAAGAACTTGTTCTGATTCTTCCATGGCTGTGTTTCTTCTTCTTCGTGCTCTGTTTTTCGTATGTTTTTCTTTTCTTCTTCTAGTTTTTATATATCCCTAATATTTAAATTTTAGAAGCTGCCTATGTTCTAGTCTTCACGTCTTTTTGAATATTTTGCTCATTTTAATGATTTCTGGAATATATCTAAATTACAATAAAAATCAATCATAAAACATTTTTTCATGTCAACGAGTTTATTTTATTGGTACGTGCCGACAAAAAATATTTTATTGGTACATTCTAAACGTGAAATTATCCAACAACTCTACACTATGTATTTTTTTTCTGTTTATTTATGCAATGACATGATCACCAATCACCATGACTAAAGAATCTCGTACTTGACCAAATTTTTTGATAGAATTAAAAGAGATAACAACACTATAAACCTACGTAACACATTTACTCATGTCCTTCCTTTTGATTTTCTTCTGTGTGTAGAAATGTAAGTAGAAATGATGTATATGGTGTAGGATTGGTTATCTCAAACCAAAGGTAGTGCATCTAGCACTCTTGGGACCAGAACCCAGGGAAGTTGTTCATTACAACTTGATATCAGAACATAGGTTAAGATCTTTTATTATTAACCTAAAGGCCATTTTTAATGTACGGGTTCTTAAAAAGAATTTTAGTTTTTTTAGGACCTCGCGTTAAAGATGACCTAAGGCCAGCTCCAACAGGAGTTTTTAAGCATATATGTTGAAATTAATAAATTATAAAATACTGAAAAAGATGAAATGACAAGACAGAGTATCAGAGGATATGGGTGCAGAGATACTTCTCTCTTAACATTAAAACCCCCTTTCCCTTATGTGTCATTTATTTATTGGTCAATTTTTTTTTTAATTTTTTTTTTTCTGTTTAGTTTTGACATACTTAATACGGTTTGTAACCATTGAGGTTGCCCTAAGGGATTAACATTTCTGCCATTTTCAAAAACCTTAGTTCAATTGTGAAAAGCTTTGTGAAAGTTTAACTCGCGGATGTTCTTTTTTTTCAAAACACCAACTATATTTGTACTTGTTTTGATAGGATCTGGTTACTCGCGGATTCCTTCGCCAGCCGTTACATCTTCGACATAGTTAAAGTTCTTTAAATTTATGGTGCTTGTTCTTGTTTAATTGTTTCACAACAAACTAATTACTTTGTCTTAGACCGGATTTGTAGTTACACTGTGGGCCGAAGGATACCCTTGTATATGCCACCTGTAAGAGCACATCTCCGCTTCTAAGCCAAAAGAGGTTCTCACCGCTTGACCACTAAGTGGGACAAGCCATTCAGAGTCCGTTTTAAAACTTTTGTTCTCAAGTTTGATGATTATGTAATTAATATGATAGAGTCTAAAACTTATATATTATAATAAAATAGATAGGATAAACTGATTCTTTATTTATTTCACAAAGAATTCATTAAAATGAGAGTTTACTTGTTATTACAATGTAAATGATCCTATTCAGTCTATCAAACAACCCGTCCATCCTTGGCTTCGAGTCTTCACGGCTAAAGCATTTCCTTCCTGCGATCACTTTCAATTTTTGAAATCAACAACACAAGCAATCTATCGATAACTTAGTGAGAATGATTTCTATGCATGCATGATCAGATTTTTTCTAAGTCTAACCGAATTCTCCATATCAATCTTGACTTTCACAGTCCGTTGGGCGAGTTAGTTAAGTCCGGTTTGCGGATCTAGATCAATCCATCTAACCACCGAACTGACTGGATCGTCGATAACGGCTTAGATACTCAATCTATCGCATCCAGCACTAAGCCATGGGTTATTTTTGAACATTTCGGTAACACATGGTTCGTCAAAAGTAGACAATACATACACTTGTCTTTATCGTAACAAAAATATATACACAGTATTTAAGATATAAATATATGAAAATGAGACACTTGTTTGGAATATGTGTATATATGAAATCTTGTTCATTGGATCATTAAAGCAACAAACTAATTATTTTAAAAGAGATGAAAAGACCTGGAAAAACAGGGTCTAAAGGAGAGAGAAACAGAAGAAACCCGAAAATTAGTTGATCTCAATGAAGAGACTAGCCTGAGGATGCAAACCTGCATCTTTTAGTGACATTGACTCTTTGTCTCTTCCGTACACTGTTCTCGGTAAGTTTGTTACTAAGCTATACTCATATGTTTCCAACACTCCAAGTGAATCAATGTAGTCGTACAATGTCTGTATCTTGGTATTGCTTTCAAACCTCCTCCCTTTTCTTTCTCCGAAAATCGTACCAAAACCAACATTCCAAGGCAAATAAACGACCCACGTGTACCATAAACCAGAACTTTCTCAAATATTCTCATATCCACAAGTCTAAAGAACGCAAGTTTCAGATGTTTGATCAATATGAATCAGACAGGCCACATAACGTAAAGTATTTTGAGTATAAGCTTTTACATCCCTCACGATGGTTTGAATACCAATAAAGCAAAACAGATTGATGTCCTTTGCATAACAATGTGACCATTAATGAGCAGAGAAAAAGTAATGAACTAGCAAAGGAAGAAGGAGAAACTTACTTGTGTAACATCGGGGCCGTTCTCAGGTTCGTCTCCAAGAGCAAGTGCTTTCTCTTGTCTCATTCTCACTCTAGCAGCTTCTCTCTCTGCAGCTTCACGCTCTTCTCTCTCCCGAGCCTCTTCTTCTTCTTCTTCTTTGTGTTTCCTCTCTGCCTCAGCAGATTCCCTCTCTAAACGCTCTTCCTCTTCCTGTCTCTGTCGCTCCCTTGCTTAATCAGCACAACGTAAGATACCAAGAATTTAGACAACAGAGTAATTATAATAGACATCTTGTAAAACTCCGGGAGGGGAAACCATACTTGATCGGCTTCAAGAGCAGCCCTGTAAGCAGCATCTTGCTCCTCTCTTAGGCGCAAATTGTTTATCCGTTCCTCAGCCTCAAACCGCGCAGTTACAAGAACATGTGAACTATCTTGTACAACTCTTTGCAATATAGAAATCATTTCTTCTGGAGTTGTTGGTCCCTCCACCTGCCACGAGCAAACGAAACAAATAACACGATAAAATTAAGAACTACTTCTCCTGTCACACCACATATACTCATACAATCTTGTTCAAACCGAGTACGGTCTCTTATCAGTGAGAAGGTGATGGAACTCGTTAGTGGGTTATGACAAAGGCGTTTTATGCTATAAGTAGTGAAAGAGTCGCTTTATTGATGAGGGAGTTCAGTTTACAAATAAGGAAATGAGAGGCGAGGCGAGGCAAGGCGGAGTTACAAAGAGAGCTCGGCCGTGCCATACTAGTCGGAAAGAAAGTACAAGAGTGAAAATCCTAATTCTAGCCGCCTTGCGAGTGAGTCTAATTTCGGACCCTTTCCTTGTTACCCTCTCTCCCCTTTTTATAGCTTCCTCTGCTTGACCTAGCGATCTGGGTGCATGTGTGGGAGGCATTTCGCCCGATGGGCCTTGGTTGGCCCGTTAAGACGAGTTCCTCCCCTAAGCATCGTTAACTCGGGTAATCGCGGGGATTATCCGAGCTAAACCTGATTAGTCGTTAATCAGTGAAGTGTTACCTCGTTGGGCCGGAGCTCGTGTGGGCCGGGCCCATTATTCGACGGGCCTTGTAAAAGGGGTTTATTTCACCACTTACAGTAAGTCGGTCGCGATGACCGAGAACTTGACCATACGGGTAACTCCACTAGCGTAGACCGGGAGTCTGATTGTGCCGATCATCTCTTCTGAGACTCCGTCGAATCCGGTTAAGGAATGATTAGATGGCTTCATGAGATGCAGGTCGGCTCCCATCTTCTCGAGGGTCTTTTGGAAAATAAGGTTGACCGAGCTACCGGTGTCGATCAGCACTTTGGTTACTTCACAATCCCCAATGCCTAGCTTGACGAGGAGAGGATTGTTATGGGGCATATGGACTCCAAATGCGTATTCTGCTGAGAACGTGATTGCGAGATCGTTTTTGGCATCGATGGCCACTTTTGCGAGGTCTTCGCTTGACGTTGATGGGCTTTGACGGATCAAACCGAATCGCCACATGGAGTTGAACCTCCCATGATGACGTTAGCTCGTTTGCCTTGGAGTTGGGAGAGCAAGTCGTAGGGTGAACGGGCGACTGGTTCCTCCCTTATTTGACCGGCCTTAATTGCGTCAAGCTACTGTCGCAGATCCTGGGTCTTTGATTCGTGAAGTTTGAAGTGAAGGTCGGGGACCTTCGAGTTTAGGTGATCTCAAAAATCGGCTCCGAGAGGGGGAGATTTTGGTGTATCCGGGATAGCGGTGACTTCGATTCGTTTGAATACCGAGGTAGTGACTTCGCCTTCAGAACTGACAGATTTGGACCGAGTCGCCTCAGTGACAACATTTCTTCGCTTTAGTCTATGTCGCAGATCAGTCGAGCTCAAGCTGTCCCCTTCGGTAGGTCTCTTGGTTATGTATACGCACAGATCTTCTTAGATGAGCCCGGGCTCGTGATCTATTATCGGATTCGGATGCGCGAGGATGACTTCGACTCATCGTCGGTTTCTCGGCTGTTTTTCGTCGGCGGAAGAGTCTCCTTTTTCCTGAGTCTTGTGAGCGGTCTCCTCGGCGTTTGTCTTTTGCTCGGCTCGCAGAGCTTTGCCTTGGGGCTTTCGGGCCTACTTGTCCATGTTTTTGCTCCAGCTGTTCTCTTTCGGCTTGGCTTTAGGAGGCTCGAGTCCCAGTTTACCGCTAGCGACTGACGAGAGGAAATGCTCGTACATGACTTTGCACTCCTTTGTATCGTTCTTATTGCTCTTGTGATAAGTACAATACTTCTCCGACTCTGCAGAGTTCGGTCTTGACACATCTGAGGCGCCTTGAGTCTTTTGCTCGTCGTCGACTCTATCCTAGTGGTTCCAACCCTTTGCTCGGACTACGATTGCAGAGCCGGGGAGGTCATCTTCTTGACCATGTACACGAAGCTCTTCTTTAGGTTCGCTTTGTCGCTAGATGCGTGCTGCCGCGGTTCTTGTCGGGCTTCGCTATTCTTGGCCGGAGCTTGTTTCGTCGAGTTCTGCTTACTTATGATTGCTTTGGTGTCCTCTTCCATGCGGATGAAGTTGTTGGATTGGGCGATAGCGTCAGAGAGGGACTTGGTCATATGACAATAGAGGTCTTCTTGGAACTTTGAGTGCACGTACAAAGTGTTCATGAGCGCGTCTACAGCAATGTTGTCGGGAACCTTGACTTTAGATACGATGGACTTAAACTTCTCCATGAAGCTGCGGAGGCTCTGTCCCTGCGTCTGAGAGACGTTCCAAAGATCTGAAGCGGTGGCTTCTTCGCGTGTGAACATTATGTAGTTCTTGAGGAACACGGACGACAGGTCGTGGAAACTATCTACCGAGTTTTCTGGTAAGCCGGTGAACCACGTGAGCGCTACGCCGGTTAAGCTTTCGACGAAGAGCTGGCAGAAGCCGACCTCTATTTTCTCGTCGAGGAAGTTTTGTTGCCTCATCGCGATGTTGAAAGAGGTGATGTGGGCGGTTGGGTCCGAGAGGCCGTCGTAAGTCGGTAGGCGGATCTTGTCCATTTTCTGGAGCTTTACGTCAGTGATTTTACTTGTGAATGGCGTTCGAAGTGTGTCAGCAAGGACGCTTTCGATGAGCGGTGCGGAGGTCGTGACTCCATGGATCTTCGCGTTTATGTCGAGGATGGCTCGCTTCAGGGCATCGATTTCCTGGACGGTTTGTAGATCTGGGGCACCGGAGGCGTTAGTTCGTCCTTCGGGGCCTTAAACATGGGCCTCGGCGACCTGTGCCGGCGTGTTTGCGACTTTCCCGGTCATATTAACCGTACCGTCGATGTTGAAAACTAGCTGTCGTCGGACTGTTTCAGTGGTTGCTTCCGCAGCGAGAGGTGCAAGGAGGGCCGCGATGGCGTTAAGCTGCTCGTTCGTCGTTTTCTGAGCTTCGTCTTGCCGAGCAAAGCGCACCATGACGGTGTCGACAAAGGTCGGAGCGAATGGTGCAGCAGCGGTCGGAGTAGGTGCTACTGTGTCGGCTTCCTCGCCGGAAGTCGACTCGTTTACCGGACTTATAGCTTTGTTGGCGCTACTTTGCTATAAGTCCACCGTGGGCGCCAACTGTTCGAACCGAGTACGGTCTCTTATCAAAAAGAAAGTGACGGAACTCGTCAGTGGGTTATGAAAAAGACGTTTTATGCTATAAGTAGTGAAATAGTCGCTTTATTGATGAGGGAGTTCGGTTTACACATAAGGAAATGAGAGGCGATGCGGAGTTACAAAGAGAGCTCGGCCGTGCCGTACAAGTCGGAAAGAAAGTATAAGAGTGAAAACCCTAATTCTAGCCGCCTTGCGAGTGAATCTAATTTCGGATCTTTTGCTTGTTACCCTCTCTCCCCTTTTTATAGCGTCCTCTGCTTGACCTAATGAGCTGGGTGCATGCGTGGGAGGCCTTTCGCCCGATGGGCCTTGGTTGGCCCGTTAAGACGAGTTCCTCCCCTAGGCATCGTTAACTCGGGTAATCGTGGGAATTATCCGAGATAAACCTGATTAGTCGTTAATCAGTGAAGTGTTACCTCGTTGGGCCGGATCTCGCATGGGCCGGGCACATTATTCGAGGGTCTTGTAAAAGGGGGTATTTCACCATCTACAAATCTTAAGAGCGGAATGGTTACAAATTACAATGCTGGATCAAGATGATGAAAAGCAACTATGTCGACCAGCTTTTACTTAGAGATCACTTTAACAAGATAGGCTCTTCTTTTATGCAAGTACTTATCTATCACATAATATAACTAATAACAATCTTGTTACCAGACTCGAAATAAAGCCTACTTAAAAGTTGCTTATACGCTAATCAATGAAGACCAATCCATATAACCTATGATGAGGCAGATGAAAACCCAGTTACTTAACCTGTTGAAGAAGAGCAATTCTGTGATTAGCAGCAGGCATAACCACAGCAGAAAAGGGAATCCTAGAAGCCTTGAAGCTATTACTCATCTTAAACCCTTCACTAGACCTAATACTACATCCCCAAGTAACAAAATTCTCATTCAAAAACGCCACAAAAAAACTTCATTACATAACGTCCCATCACAAAACGCAGGCATATCAGGATGATCAGGAGGGTGCAAGAAAACAAACAAGAGAATATGTATGTGTATCACTGATGTACCGAGCAAGGGAATCAGTCTGGCCTGAGAAGATCAAAGCTTTGGTACACTGTAACTAATTGATAGCTGTTTACTGTGTCTGATAATGATCTCTACTTAGTCTCTTTGTTTTACGATTCCATCCTCACTTTTGTCCAGAAATTAAAACTGAGGCGCTTGGTTGTATTAGTAGATGAAAGCTTTGCTACACAGTAACTAACTGATAGCTATTTACTGTGTCTGATAATGTGCATTTTGTTACGTTTCATTATGTTTTGTATCCTATTGATCTCTTGTGACCACAGGTTCAAATGATTTACTCGGAAGCTTGAACTTATATCATTACAAGAATCTTCAAGGAACTTGATTGCCCAGATAGATAAAAACTGAAGGAATTTTGAAACCAATTCTTAAAATTTGTTATTTGGGACACGGCGACAAAGCATATGGCAGTAGAGTCCCACAAAAATTATATGTATATATATATATATTTTTTACTTTAAATGTCAAACACTAAACATCATTCATAAACCTTAAGGATACAAGTACAGGTTCAACGAAGTCTTTATAGTTACATATAATCTAGCTTTTTAATTTGGAAAATAGAAATTAGCTTAGAGGTCATATAACAATTTACCATGGAGCTGCCGCAGTTGTGTGAAATTGAACCTTCACATCTTCAAGCTGTTGCCCAATCGTTGCTTCAGAAGACTTACTCTGTGCTATCTCTTTGTCTGCCTCTTCATTCAGCTTTTGCAACTCAAGAATCTTGCGTTCATTCTCAACCTTGATTCTCTCTTTCTCTGCAGTCACTTTCTCGACACCTTCGAGTTCCTCCATTTTCTTTGCTTGCCTATCTATGAGAGACAACAGCTTACTAATCCGCAACATAGGTACTTTTACATTGAACCCGTGCTTCTCTAACTCAGCAAAGGAATCCCTGAGGCTATTTAGTGAGCTTATGGGATTGTTGAGTTTCAGAGCTTTGACTTCCTCAAGTAAACCAGAAAATGTTAGCATCATACCAACCGCAGACATTTCACGGGAGTCTTCTCTAATCTCTAACAATGGAGTGAAATGAGGACTTTGTGGGAATGTTTTAAACACCGCCATTGATTCAACTGTCTTCCAAATTGGCAACTTCTTCTTAAAGGGTAAAACCATTGTTGCTTCAGTTTCCTCAACAGAACTAAGGTTTTGTTCTCTCTTCCTCTTCCGATTGTTATCTTCCCTAGTTCCCTGCGAAAGAGTTTAAAAGAAAATCCTAAAGAAGAACAATGATGATAATATGCCACCAGCTAACTAATTACCAAGAAAGTGAGAATGTTGAAGAAAATGGAGGATAAACTTTACATTCTCTGGTGTATGTATCAATGGTGTTGCAGTTATGCCCGGAGATGGAGTTACAGGTGGACTGTTAGATACTGGAGAGAATGTATTACTAGAATCGCCCATCTCATCTACCAATCCATGAGTTAAAGGCGATCCCATTGGCTGCAACAGAGATCAAATATCAAAATAAGAAGATAATGTTGAAGAAAGTGAGAATGATGAAGATTGTGAAGCATTAACTTTACATTCTCTCGTGTTTGTATCAATGGTGTTGCAGTTATGCTCGGAGATGGGGTTACAAGTGGACTGTTAGATACTGGAGAGAATGTACTACTAGAATCACCCATCTCCTCTACCGACCCTTGAGGTGAATGTGATTCCCTTGGCTGCAACACAACAGATAGATAGATCAAAATCAGAAAGGGAAGATAAAAAAATACAAAAGATGAAGATGTTAGCTGAAGTTGTGAAGCTGAAACGACAGTTTCATTTATATAAAAGTCTTGCAAACAGTTCAACGCAGATTAGTCACCGCCAGCAAATTTAGTACTGACTGAAACAAGTGCAAAGCAAAACATTATAATACCTTCCAAACGCCGTCTTCCCACACTATGGAAGGCCTAACGTCCGAGATTTTGAAGCTCAGTACCTTGTTTGTAGCCTCTAAAAGCACTTTACACCATCCACGAGACATCTTCCCCATCACTCGCCCTTGACGCCATGATGTACCATGAAACACCTCTATATATTCCACCGACTTAAGCTCTTCAGCCGTAAAAAGAGGCGGTCTAGGCCTAATACTACGCATGTCAATCTTTTTGTTGGGTCTTATCTTTATACCCTCAAAGCTCGAGGGATCAACACAAAACTTGACTACGTATTTCTTCTCATCATTATCCTCTTCCTCCTCCTCATTATCATTATCCTCGTCTTCCTTCTCCTCCTCCTCCTCTTCTTCGTCCTGTTCCTCCTCCTTCTCCTCATCTTCTTCATCCTTCTCCTCCTCCACCTCCTCTTCTTCCTCATCTTCCTCCTCCTCCTCCTCGTAGTCCTCATCCTCCTCGTCTTCATCATCATCATCATTATCATCAACATCATTATTAATCTCTTTAATGATCATTGCAGGAACCCAGACGACCTCTCCGTTATCTATCCTATCACTCACTTCCACCATTGCCCCAGAGATAAACATAGACTTCTCCTGCAACCGCCTCAAGAACTAAAAGTAAAATTAACACACAGCATTTCACAACCAAAACAAGTTAGCAATTTTAAGACAAAGATTCGATTTTTTTTTCACCTGTACATTACGTCCTGGTAAGACCCACCATGTCTCATCAACCCAGTCAAGATGTACCCTCAACTGCTGTCTCTTAAACAGAATGATATCAGATGGTGAATCGAACAACACCAAAAACTTGTCATCTCCAACCTGTTTGACTACAAGACCAACCCACCACCCATCTTTATGATAACCATCGACGATAGAGCCTTCCTTGATAGCGACGCGATCTTCGTAGAGTTTTGTCGGAATCGGACGAAATGAGGCTTTGTGCGTGAAGACGGTAAGAGGAGTCAACGAGTCATCCTTAAGCACACGGACACAGCGTTGTCGGGATCTGGATTTGGGTTTGGTTTGCGGTTCTAACTCGACAATGGCTCTGTACCAAACTTTTTTGAAGCGATTCTGTGTGTAAGTGATTTCGACTTTGCAACCTTCCATCAAGGATAGTCTTTCGCTAGGAAGAGACCTCATGCTTGATGATTACTAGTCACAGGGCCACAGCAAAACAATAAATCCAACCTTTTTCACTTGTAGAAACACTGAAACTGGAAGGAGTTCTAAAACCCAAGAGATAAGCTGTAAAGACCAAAGCTGAACAGTAAGACCAAAACTGTGTGGGACTTTAATCTAATATGGCCTAGTGACTCACACAAAATTCTGTCTGCCCCACTTTTAATCTAAGTGTCCCTTTTCAGTTGCTCTCCCCTTTTTCCAATGTTTTTAAACCCACCCGGACACTGAACCAAACGACTTACCGGGTCATTGGGTCATTGGATCGACCACAGGTGAACCGCGGAATAATAAATGAAATTTTATTATAAAATAATATATTAGCTATAAAAAATAAAAATATAGAAACTAAAGTTAAATATTTTCTAAATATTTGTAAAGCATAAAATATATAAATATACAAAATATCAAAACTAGTTTAGATTATTTAAATTTTTTTATAACAAGTTAAGAGTAATAACATCTAAATATCAAGATATAAAATTCATAAATATTTAAATGTATAATGAGAATAATAAATTGACATCATTGTAAAAAATTATAAAAAACAAAAATAAACATCAAATTACATCAACTAATTTTGGTTCTCGCTACCACCCTTCAGTTCATTTTCTTCAGGTGGTATAGTGAAATCTTCATCAAAATCTAAAAATCACTAGATAAAATAATGTAGTAGTTATTATGTATGATAAAAATTCAGAAAGTTTAATCTAAATTCAAAGAAGAAGACGGCGATGCCAATAACTAAAACATGAAAACATAAATATTTAAAAAACTTAGAATATAAAACAGAATAAAAATATAATTTAAAACTAAAAAAAGTAAAAATTTATTTATTGGTTCAACCAATGGTTCAACCGGCATCGGGTTTTGGGGTTTTGTGGCTTTTTCGGATTTTTACGGGTTTTTAAATTTTAGATTTTTTAACAAAACCCGAACCGAATTTATTTTAGGTCACCCGTTTACTGGTTCAACCGCGGGTCCGGGTCGGGTATCAAAACATTGCCTTTTTCTTTATTGAACTCTTCTTTATTATGTTATTTTTTTTAGTTTGATCCTAGAACTGACACATCCGCCTCTAACATTGGTTTCAACCAAGGTGGCACAATAGAATACAACTTGGGGTCTATTCTTTTTCATTTGTCATTCCATCAATCCAGCTGTTTCATCTATGTGATCTATCTAGATTTTATGGGCCTTTCGTTACTCCATCCAGATGTTTCATCTAAATGAGCTAGCTGGATAAATTTTATGTTCATTATTTTCTATTTTCATCCGAATGAGTTTATTAAATCAATTACAAATATATTCTTATATTGATTTAATCATATGTTTGATATTAATTTAATTATACTAGTTTTTAATATTTAGTCTAAAATAGATACACTGGAGTTATTCTAAAATTAGCATTTTGACATTTTAACGTTTTTCTTTGGCGAAAAACACATTTTGTGGTTTTGGTAGAAAAAAGCGGTTTGGCGGTTTTGTTGATTTTTTTTCTTTCTTTTTTTGCGTTTTGGCGATAGACCACGTTTTTTGAAAATACATTTTGGCGGAAAACGCGGTTTTACGGTTTTGACGAGAAACATGTTTTGACGGAAAAACGTGTTTTTGATTTTGGCTAGAAAAATGAGTTTTTCGTATTTGAAGGAAAAACATGTTTTCAATTTTGGTGAGAAACGCATTTTTTTGGTTTTGACAAGAAAACACGTTTTTCGGTTTTGACAGAAAAACACATTTTTTTGGTTTTTGGCGGGAAAACATGTTTTAACGGGATACGAGTTTTGACGGAAAATGTTTTTTTTTGGTTTTGGCGAGAAAATGCTAGAAAATGAGTTTTCCGGTTTTGGCGAGAAAATGCGTTTTTTTTTTTGTTTTGGCGGAAAAACGCTTTTTATGATTTTGGCAAAAAAACATGTTTTCGATTTTGGCGGGAAAATGTGTGTTTCGGTTTTAACGAGAAAACGTGTGTTTTCAATTTTGGCGGGAAAACATGTTTTTCAGTTTTAGTGAGAAAACATGTTTTCGATTTTGACAGGAAAACATGTTTTTACAGTTTTGACGAAAAAATGAATTTGTTGGTTTTAGCGGAAAAACACGTTTTTCGATTTTGGCGGAAAATATGTTTTTCAATTTTTGTGGAAAAATATATTTTTTTCATTTTTTTATGAGTTACAAAATGAAATTAGATTTTTAGTTTGTGAATTATATAAGACTTGTAATAGACATTATACCATTTTAGCAAAACTATCTTCATCCAAATGGTCCAAATTGATCCATTCAGATGGGTTTTAAAAGAGCAATTCTCCATAATAGCCCTTTTGAAGTTTTTATCACAAAAATGACCCAAGAGAGAGAAAGTCACGAGAATAACCTTCATTAAAGGGCAAAATGTCTATCTTGCCCTTGTGTTATAATAATAAAAGAAATAATTAAAAAAAAAGACAAAAAGGATCGCGACTCTCTCTCTTCTCTCTCTCTTCGTGAAACGTTTCTTCAATCTCCGGCTCGCCTCCATCGTCTCCGGCTCGCCTCCATCGTCTCCGGTTCGCCTCCATCGTCTCCGGCGTCGCCTCCATTGTCTCCAGCGTTGCCTCCATCGTCTATTTGCTTCTCCATCGTCTCCGGCGTCGCCTCAATCATCGCAATCTAAATCACGATGTAAGTAAATTAGGGTTTTCGATTTTGATGAAAGCTAGCTACTTTGTTTTGTTTCTTGAGTGAGGATTCAATATGGTGAGTTAGATTTGGAATCAAGAGGTAAAAAGAGATGAAAGATTTGAATTTTAAACGTTTTTGAATAGAGAAGAAAATATAACTAGATTTGGGAAGAGAATATAAAGCTTTGAATCCGAAAATAAGTGATTTTTATCATTAGTTTCATGTTTGTGAGTCACTAGGAAGTGTGTCTGGCTGTCTTACTTGTTCTTTTATTGAATCAGATTGCTTTATCAACATTTTATTGTTTTTAATCTTATGAAGCTTACGTGTTTGTTAGAAAGTTGTTGGAGCTCAAATCTATTGAATGTGTTTAGAAAATGAATATGTTTTCATTTGTAAAGTTTCAGGAAGACCTTCCAGAATAGTTTCAGGAATGGGTTGAATGTGTTTTCATTTTTACTTTATGAATGTATTTTCACTTGTAAAGTTTTAGTAAAGCCTTCCAGAATAGTTTGAATTTTTGCAACCTTTTTTCCTTGCTGCTTGAATTTGATTATGAGTCTCTTGTTGCTTGTGATTGTGAAACTCTCTAGTGTTTATGAAGTTTTCATAAAGCATTTGTATAGTTTCAGGAAAGCCTTCCAGAAATAGTTAAAAAAATTTTCCCTCTTGTTTTCGCAGGGCAGAGACAATGATGGGAGATTCATTACCAACAAGACTAGCAATTCCAAAGCTGAGGTATCCGATTGGTTCAGAGCCCATGGAAAAAAACTTGGCAATCAACCAACATTCAAACTCAGCCTATATTTCTATAGTTGAAAGCATTCTAACAGAAGATGAGATGAGAAGAATCCGGGAGTCTTTCATGGGACCTATACTGAGGCTAAGTAAGTGTGGGCTAAAACTATTAGCAAAGACTGTGTATGCAATTCTCGTTAGGAGCATTGTTAGTGTCAAAAAGAATGAAGTCTGGTTTCATTTTGGTGCGCAGCCCATGAGATTTTCTATTAGAGAATTTCATATGGTGACTGGGTTGAAATGTAGAGTTGAAGGAGAAGAACCAAGAATGGAACCCGAGAGATATAATTGGGACTTGCTAAAGGGGCGTATTCATAACTTAAGGGATGTGGTGAATGATTCACCTAGAATCAGCTTAGGAAGACAGACATAGATGGACTGATGAGAGAGTATGTCTGGTAATGTTGCTACTAGTTGAGAGCATATTGCTTAGGAAGAATGGCACGAGAATTTTCCTTTGGAGTATGCCGAAAACGCGCAGGATATATCATATCCATGGGGAAGAGAGGCTTACACCGTGCTCCTGAAGTCTATTCAAAACGTTGTCGAGAATCACTTAGAGTGTACTTCAAAGTTTGAGTTGCAGGGATATCCACTAATATTCAATCTTTGGATACTAGAGTTTATCCCTTTATTCCGAAATTCGTTCAGTGCCTGCGTATAGCCTCTTCTGTTTGATGGACCGGTTTATTTGTGTGAGTATTACACTAGTTTATACTATCAACAACTTGAAGGCATTTTGAAGTTTGAAGGTGACGAAAATGTAAGCTTTTAAAATGATATTGTTTTGTATATGTTTAGCTTCTTGTTTCTTAAAATTTATTCTTATTGGTTTTTCTTTTTGAAGTTTTTCAGTTGAAGGTCAAATGCATCCTGCCTTCTATTGCTGATGATCCAGAGGATGATGTCTATATGGAAGACAAATATAGTGATGAGGTGGAGTCCTTGAAAGATATATCCAAGAAAGGCTACAAATTTAAAGCTGAAGATTGGAGAAATAAGTTCGTAGAAACGGTGGACGCACTGGATGCTCATGTTCAAATGGTTGCAAATGAGGAGACTGACCAATCTTCAAATCCGATTGAGAAGGATTCAGTGGATACAAAATTGAACAAGATTATTGTGGTAATGGAGGAGAATGTCAAGAGCATGAAGGAAAGAATGTTCTTACTGGAAAAAGATAACATGGAGCTTAAAGCTCTTGTTTCTGAGTTGGAAGGAAACATGAATGTTGATCCACAGACTCAGACTCCCGCTAATGTGACACATAAGGTAAATTCTCTAGAAAAAATCTTGTTTTACATTTGGCCTTTAAAAGTAATATTTGGAAGCTCTTGTACAGAATCTTGAATGCCTTCCTGAGTTTTTGCAAAATGACACACATCCAATGAGTGGGACACATGTATCTCCAATGTCTCAACAGCCTGATGCTGAAGATTTCTGTCTTAATGTGACACGAGAGGTATGTACTCATTAAAAACATTGTTTGAGTTTCGAAAATATTGATTGGAAGATCTTGTAAATCGAGTTATTACATT